ATTATTAACTCTTAAGAGACCATGTACTTCTTTTCTATCTCCTTTTAGTCCTGAGCACCTTATGTCATATTCAGCGTAAAGAAACTGAGTAACCAATTACTGAATTAGAATCATTGGACATTGGACAATACTTCTATAATGCTCACATTAAGACAATTTGCCCTTTGATTGATAGAGTCAGCTGACCTCACAGAATGATTGCTTATACATCAGTCCTTCTGAGAATGTCTTTATGCTAGTTTGCCTTTGCGAAAGTGTTGATTGAGGACAATTGGATTCACACTGTGTGGGCTGCAAATACGTTACAAATTTAGGCGCCAGCATTTCTAAATTCATCTCAGAAATAGGATATATAGGCAAGGGTAAAGGAATCTCCAACTGGTGGCACTTAAGGTCTGAATTTCACAGACAGGAAAATCCAGGGCACACCACCATTTAACCTCAAGGCCCTGGAGTTATACCTTTGTTGAAGCTTATCTGTAGAAACCATATTTCATTCTATAAAAACTTAATTTGCTCTTCTGTTTTTCTAATTATTTCTTCCAAAAAAAGAAAGAAGTAGACTGATTTTGTTTAAGCATATGTAGAGTTGGTCATTGTTTTTTGCATTTGACCTTCTCGAAACAAATTAATCTGATTGGTGTTAGAATTAAGAATCTAATGTAATTTTTCCTAAATTTTAAGACCTATATAATTCTCGTTAATTGTAGATAGTTTTTTAGTAGTAAAATTAATTATAGCAAATATTTAACTACCTTCTGTTTACTTTTACCTTCATGTTGATGGATATAAATTGGCTTGCTTGGAACTGATAATTAACCTGCCTTTTTCTTTTTTTTTTTTTTGCCTTCTTTTTTTTTTTTTTTTTTAGACACGGTCTTGCTCTGTCGCCCAGGCTGGAGTGCAGTGTCCTGGTCTCAGCTCACTGCAACCTCGAACTCCTGGGCTCAAGCTCTCCTCACACCTCAGACTCTCCAGTAGCTAGAACTATAGGCAAGAACTACCATGCTCAGCTAATTTTAACTTTTTATAGAGATGAGGGTCTCACT